ACCCTGGGAATCGTTTTTTTTTTGTTTGTTTGTTGTTAATCACAAAATTACACATTGGGCTATCTGCACTCTGTCCCCCTCGGGAATCACTTGTTTTGTTTGTTTGTTGTTAATCACAAAATTACACATTGGGCTATCTGCACTCTGTCCACCCCGGGAATCGTTTGTTTTCTTTTCGTTTGTTTGTTGTTAATCACAAAGCTACACAATGAGCTATTTATGCTAGGCCCACCACGGGAATCGAAACCCGATGTTTTTGCGTTATAAGCCAGCAAAATTACCGCTGAGACATTGGTGGACGTGGGTAATCGAACTCCAAATTTAAACGTTGTAAGTCCGTAAACTTATCGCTGTCCCACCAATGGCGTAGATAACCTGGTTGCTTTGCGCCATAAAACGTCAAATAACCAACCGGAGGACAAAAACTACTCAACAGGTTATCTTCGTTCTGCCTACCACGGGGAATCAAACCTTGAATTTTGTAGCATTTTTACTCCATAAACTTAGTACTGACCCACTAGAGAAAACGAGATGGTTATATTTGATAATAACGTCGTACTAATGAGGCAGCCATATTGCAACTAGTAATATGGGTACATATGAAAAACATGTTTGTGTCTTCTGGTAGTGAGTGAAGTCCGGATAAAAACATGGCACAATATGTTGAAGACAATAGAATATTGTCGTTTATTTATTGTGTTTATGAATTATATGTTTCCAGAAATTGTCACTATCATCTAATTCTGTTCCAAAACAATCAAAATAATATTATTTTATTATTTTATACTTCTAATTTTACTTCTTTTTTTTTCTTTTAGTTCAGCTGAATGACTTACTTGACAAGTTCAATTTCCAGGTAACGTAGGCTTGTCATTAATCAGTGATCCTACCTAACAAATATTCAATAAACTTAATAAACGAAATTGCAAAATTAACTGTTTGCACTATGCCTATTGTAGGGGTCGAACTCCTAATTTAGCATTATAAGTTGACAAGCTTACCAGTTAACTACTGGGATAACAAGAAATACTTCCTAGCAAGAATACCTTTTATATTATAATTCACAGAAAGGCTTATTTGATTTCTACATATATTGAAATAAATGTAATCTTACAGGATCGTTGGATATCCTTTTAAAATTGATTTGGGAATTTTGTTAAGCATGTGCACCAGTTTTCCAATGGACTTCCTCTGCTGTTTTTTTGTTTTTTTTCTCTATTTCGAAAATACATTCAAGACCTGATATAGATCTCGGCGTGGAGACTAAAGCATCGTCTCTAGAAAAAAAAATGGAAGGGGAAGTCCATAGAAAAATTAGGACAACTGAATAGTGGAAACGTTTAGCATAATGGGACTCTGTCACATAAAGCCAACGTTCATTAATACGGTTAGCTTTTTATTTAAGTTAAAAGAAAAGCTCAAACAGTGATTACCTAAGATCTCAGAGACAATACTGACTATTCAGCTTGCAATATGGCCTAAACATGATTTTTGTAGATTTAGAAAAACTAATTCCGCCCATAACAAAAATCAGACTGCCTAACTCTAAACGGAATTGCGAAGATTTTGAAATATATTTTGTTATATCTTATCTTTATGAAAGAAATCACCAAAATTCCTAAATACATATCAGCTTTGTCAAAATATCCTTAAAATCGCCGAGATGCTAATGAAAGTAGGCATAATAATATTTCTACATTTAAATTTCGTGTCGTGTCTGAGTGATTCGGAAATCAACTTGAAAGTCATTTGATTACTACCCATTTAGATTCGAAACCTACCGGCTCCCCAGTGGTAAAGCGGTATGTCTGCGGACTTACAACGCTCGAAACTGGGTTTCGATACCCGTGGTGAGCAGAGCACAGATAACCAATTTTGTAGCTTTGTGCTTAATTACAAACAAACGAAACCTACCGAGTAAGAATGTCTTAAATTGGCTCAAAGGTAATGACAAAGATCGGTGTTTGATATCCGCTGTAAACATAGAGCAAATATCCACTTAAAAATAAACAAACAAAGCGACTGAGAACAGTTTAAGGTTCTTTAAAACCTGGACACATAGAAATATAATATTCTTATTTGTTTGATATTTAGAACAAATCTAACACATCTGTGCTCTGCCCACATGGATATCGAAACCTGAATTTTAGGGGTGTAAGCCTGCAGACTTATCGCTGAGCCACTGGGGGTATATATATATATTAATAATAATTTATACAATCGATTATTAAAATAGGCGTTAAAAAGTTATAAAACGTAAAGTACGGGTGTTATTTGTCGGAACATTATTTTCGTATAAACACAGCACGTTTGATCAAATTAACATTAAATGAATCATCTTGGGGAAAGAGAGCCACGCAGGAAAAGAAGAATCGTATTCCATCCATGGTAAGCAAAGTGCTGGTTATTGTAACAGATGATAATCCACAAGCTCAAAAGTCAGTGGCAAATCCGTCCATGACAACATCACGCAACATAATAATAATAATAAGCTTCTGGTAACAAGGCCAACTGGATATACCTCCAGTCATATCACCCGTTCAACCGTCGCATGCCTCATACAGCTGGCGAATGAAAACTGGAATTCATGCGTTCCTTAAGAAGATATAACGCTCAGACACAGCGTCACTGGATATCTATGCGATCGAATTATTGAAACGGACCCTTTTGCCATGGAAACTATGCCGCACGACTATTGTCAAGATGTGCAATTGTCAGACAGAGCACGACCAGACATGGTGACATGAACTGTAAAGACGTGGTGAGGTTCCAAAATCGTTTTCATATAACTTATAACTTGCTCAACTTCTGTGTTGCATAAAACTCGTCAACGCGAGATATCTTTCTTAACTATAGTGGATGAAAGTTTACTATTGAGACTATACATTTTCTTTGATGAAATATTTTGAATAAAAAAATATTATTTTTGTAGATACGTACAAACCTATTGTTTCCCTCTCTTCTTTCAAATTCTGTCGAATGTTGTTAAGAAAATAAAATGACAGTGTTCTGCATTTCAATGGGAAGTGATTTAGTAAAAGTAAAAGATGATTTTAACTCGTAAATTCGAATTATTATGACTGTGAAATTGAATTTGTATTTCTAGAAGGTAAAAGAAAAATAATTATCTAGTTTAAGAATGACAGTTTTGTCACTGTATTTGTTCAGCAGACGCCAGGTGGCCAACAGATAAGTCCGAGGGCTTATATCGCTACAATTTGGGTTTCAATACTCTCGGAGGGCGAAACACAGAGCCCATTGTTTAGCCTTGCGCTTAACAACAAACCAACAAATTTCTTAAGCAATGTTCAAATCCTTCTTTAAAACGTCAAAAATCTAAAGTATGAAATTAATTGAACTTATTTTCATTGTTTTTTTGGGGGGAGGGGTACATAGTGGTAAAATATTTAAAATATCTTTATTTAATTAGATAATTTAAATTTATTGAAGTATTGTCTTCAAGCTTCACTTGGTCATCCACAATGTACGACCTAGTGGATCAGTTCTTGTCAATTTTAAACAGTTATCCACAATGTACGATCCAGTGGATCAGTTCTTGTCAATTTTAAACAGTTATCCACAATGTACGATCCAGTAGATCAGTTCTTGCCAATTTTAAACAGTTATCCACAATGTACGATCCAGTGGATCAGTTCTTGCCAATTTTAAACAGTTATCCACAATGTACGATCCAGTGGATCAGTTCTTGTCAATTTTAAACAGTTATCCACAATGTACGATCCAGTAGATCAGTTCTTGTCAATTTTAAACAGTTATCCACAATGTACGATCGAGTA